GTTTTTGCTATTTAAATTTCGATGAGGTCGGTTTTGCTATTTAAATTTCGAAATTGGTTCATTTTGAAAATTTGTCCTTTGGAGAATGTTGCAGATTTGGGGAAGCTTCCCCATTTTTTCTCCTCCATCCCTATTTTGGGGAATGAGATGGGGAATCTGTTGGGCCAAAAACCTAACTAAATTCTCCAAAAGTAAGAAATGGGGAAGCTGTTGGAGATGCTCTAAAAAGATTGATTTCCGGTGAGATAGTCTGAGCCCACCACGTGGGTATTGTCAGATTTCAAACTCATTTCAGCCAAACTTTTGCTTCGCATTACCGTTTGGTTGACAAAAAGCAAGTTTTTTGTCAGCAGAAAGCCTATCAAAACGTTAGTTTCGTTAGTTTTGACAGGCTTTTTGCCCAAAACGTCTCTTTTAAAGACGTTTTGGACAGAAAGTCTGTCAAAACACCTCTTTTAATGACGTTTTGGGCAGAAAGCCTGTCAAAACTGACGTTTTGACCTGCTTTCTGCTCAAGAACCGAGGCCAAAACCTTCACCCAAACGCGTAAATGGTGTCCTCTTTTATTAGAGGTACTATTTTCCATTTTCGGAGAGGTGATTTCCTCTTTTTTATGCCAACTAAACATCAAAAAAATTAAAATGTGATATGAACACGGGTTCACACAATTCATTTGTTTCTCCAACACAAGACGTTATTATCATCTCGCTCGCATCAATCCTACCAAAATTCTTCAATATGGTTTGAAATGTCATTTCATCAAGTCCATCGAAGTGTTATTTCGTCTCACTCATTTATTGTTGGAATAATTTTTAAATAAAAAATGATAATTGAGCTTTGCTACAGGGACCCAAAATATGGGACCAATAGAGGGGACAAGTGAGGTGTCCCCCTCCTATTGGATAATGAGTTGGACATCATTAATGATAGCCAACTCATTATCCAATAGGAGGGGGACACCTCACTTGTCCCCTCTATTGGTCCCATATTTTGGGTCCTTGGAGAATTTTTCTTTCAAGAAAGACCAAAAGAGAGACGTACATTTATTTCGTGTAGCACCGAAGTAGTTTGGGGTTTGTAGTCTATTTATCTTGAAATGGCTAATAAATGTTTATTTCATTAATTCTTTTCAGCTTTTAGGGGCTGTTTGTTTCGAATTTTTTGAGCTTGAAAACTTGCCACAGTGTCCCATCTGCGACAGGTTTTAAGCAAAATCGCCTCTAAAAGAGGCGATTTTGCTTGAAAGCCTGCCACAGATGGGACACTGTGGCAGGCTTTCCCCATCTTTCCCTCTCAAAAAAAAGGAAACTAACAGCCCCTTAGTGAGAAATGATCCTGGAGGGCGTTCATCTTGAGTGCATATTAGCCAGGTCATGCTTTATCATAATATGTATGCAATAAATTTATTATAATATAAATTTTCAAAACCAGCCTATTTGAACATTTAATCCCAAAAAACAACTTATTTTAAACTTATTTGTAAAAACCGACCTGGTTTCAGCCTTGACGCTAAAACCAAGTCGGTTTTTGTGAAAAAGCTTCCGAAACTTCACGGGAGTTGAACTCCTGTGATGTTTAGCAGATTTACTAAACTTCACGGGAGTTCAACTCCCGTGAAGTTTTGGAAATTTATTTTCAAAAACTGACCTGGTTTCAGCGCCAAGGCTGAAACCAGCGCCAAGGCTGAAACCTTCAGCGTCAGGGCTGAAATCAAGTCGGTTTTAAAAATAAGTTCAAAACCGGTCATTTTTGAGGATTAAATGTGAAAATAGGTTGGTTTTGAAAATTCCTCCATTTATTATAATGAGACCGGGCATCACGCGCTAACACATGGCTATAATTTCTATTTCAAGGGGGAGGTGTTATGTATACGTGCCTAGAAAAATGTCCAAATGCCGTTTATATGCTATATAACTTTATTCCATACCGAAATTGGCGAAAATTGGAGATAAGTTAAAACTTTAGTGCTCCTACAAATATCTTCAAACCTCATCTCTTTAGACTTTAGGCATGTGTTTGGTTCATTTCCTAAAATAACAGTAAACCCCATTTCAATGCTGGAAAGCAATACTTTTTTTATTCATGAATTTGATAAGGACCAAAATGGTAAACATCAAGTTTAAGTACCCAAGAAAGCCCGCTGTAAAAACCAAAAAAAGATTAAAAAACACCCAAAAAAGAACAGAGGCACGATATTTTTATTAATTTTTCTGCCATATCCACAGCTCATTTCCTGTCTAAAAATAGAGAAATTAAATTTTCTGATGAGTCACGATGCGACTTTCATTGAACTCAAAACGGGAACCTAACACATTATTAGGAAATTATTTGCCCCAATTTCGATGGATTCCTATTATATCAGACGTTTCGTTTTCTAATCAGGTCTTAGCGAAGCAAACACGCCATAAATTCATGTCATGGAAGGGGAAAAAAAAGGGGCTGCTACAGGGACCCCAAATAGCAGTGCATCATGCAACCAGGGCGGCACCTTACATGTCCCCTCTTGGGTCCTCTATTTGGGATTCCTGGGGCATTAATCGGGGGGAAAACCTGACGTGCAAAGATTTTTTCACAAAGCTATCTTCAAATTTGGAACTGTTAAAAAAATTCAGATTTAACATCAATTCACAAAATAATGAGGGATCATACCTTATGGTGTGTTTGGGAGTTTACTTAGGGAAGGGAAGGAAGGGGAAGGAAGGGGAATTTTTCCCCTTCCTTCCCTTCCCCTCCATTACACCCCAATTTGGGGTGTAAGAATTTGGGCCAAATTTCCCCTCCATTCCCCTCCTCTTCCCTCCAAAATAAAACTCCCAAACAAGGTTAAAATGAAATTTCCCTTCCCTTCCCCCTCTCTACCCTCCATCCAAACAGGCCATTAGGAGCTGTGTGGTTCACCTATTTTATAAAAAAGTTTTGAGAAAACACCTGACAACGGCGTTATCGTAAATAATAGATTTCTGTAGATTTCTATAAACTATGTTTGGTTCTAAAAAAGTATAAAAATATTTTCTATAAAGTAGGAAAAAATGTATCATTTTATAGAAATCAACTTCCTCTCTAAATGGGCGAAAATCGCAAGAAAATCTGAAGCATATATTAAAAAAATAATTAAGTACACCAGTATCATTCCCATGTGATTTCTCATGTGCATTGTTAATTAGCTATTTTCTATAGAGTGATATCCAACCAAATAAAAGAAAAAAAACACAATATATTTTCTATAAAGTTAGAAACTTTTTCATACTTTAAACTAAACAAAGAAAAAGCAAAAAATAATAAATATGGTACTCTTTGAGTTCTATAAATGTTTCCTATAAATTTTATAGAAATACAAGAAAATTAAATTTTGAATACTTTTCATTTTTTTCTCTTTTTTAAAAAATTGAACCAAACAGACACGCCTCAAAATGCGGCGGTGAACATCACAAAAATTCACCGGGCAGTTACGAGCACCGCCCCGTCCGTAATAATGCACGTACCAAATACTGGCAACGAAGTTGTGGAACCCTGACTTTGTCGCTTCCCAAAAATAACATCTTTTTTTTAGACATTAACCAATCTGACAAAAAAAACCACCACAATTGTAGATGCACAAAAATTGGCCAAATTCTGAAAATACCCCTGACTTTAGGATGATTTGCACACGTCTCGCTGTCCCTGAAGTATCCAAAATTTTCACCTCAAAGGTTTATAGTTTAAAAGAAATTAGCAAAAAGCTCCCTGACATTTATGCAAGTGAAAAAAAGTACCTTAAATTTTTAAAACTAACACTCTCATGCTCTCGTTTTGCTTCGTGTAGACTTGCTTAGCGACAAAATGTCCATATCTCCATTGAGAAGAAAAAATAATACTAATTCTCTCCAAGAAAATAACATCAAGTCACGAGAAAATTGGAAAGGAGAAAGTGAAAATGTTGGTTCTAAAATTCCATGGGGATCTTATGCCACTTCTAAAGGGCTTTAAACAAGTTTTGGTGAATTTCTAACCCTTAAAATGAAACCCTCAAATTTTCCAGTATTCCTCTATCCTCACTTTACAAGAAACTGGAGTACGTAATTTACCTAAAGATTAGGGACAACTTTGTAAAAGATCAGGAGGCTTTTGTAAAACTACCGAAAGTTTAACGGGTTTCGTCTACATTTTTAAGGCTTTAAAAGCTTTTTGTGCAAATCATCTGAATGTTAAGGGGTTTTGCGAACTTTACCCTAGCTATTTGGGCAACGATTCAAAAAACAAACCCCTCTCCTTTCCTTCACTCTTCTCCTTCGTCTCTCTCTCTCTCTCTAAAACCCCTCTCTTTCTCTCTCTAAAAACCAAGCTTGATCTCTCTCACAGAAGGTAGTTCTCTCTCTCTCTCTCATAATTTTGATGTACTTTTTATTATTTACCTTCATTTATAGCGGTTTGTTGCCTTTTGCGCGAAGATTACTCTAGCTAGCATTTTCACCCCTATTTCCCCAATTTTATAGGTTTTTTTAGTTTTAGTATATGGGTTTCTTTTCTTTATTTGATTTATCCAAGTTTTAGAATGATCTGGGCAAGGGAATGGGTTTTTTGTTGAGGATCAAAAGTTTTTTTCTTCTTCCTTGTTTGTTTGTTTGTTTGTTTGTTTTTTTCTTAAATTATGCTGAAGGAATTAGGGGAAGAAGGGGAATGTGGGAGTTTTATTTTGTGTAGTTTTTAATTATTTCAATTTGGTTTAATTTTTTTTTACTGTTTGTAGAAGTGTCGGCGCTTTTGTGCTTTTTGCGCTGGTGTAATCTGAGTTTGCAGAGAGCATTTTTTTCTGGCAGTGTTGGTCTTTATGTTTGTGGGGACTGAATAAGATATGATATTAACTTCATTTGTCTTCTAGTGCTTTCCCGTATAATTTTTTTTTTAAATATTTTTTTTATCTGCCTATTTGGGAAGGTTTTGGAAAATGCATAATGTGTGAAAGTAAAGTTAAACAATTAGTTTGGGAATTTAAAATTTTATATTAATTCTTCTCTTTTTAGTTTCAGGGTCATGTAATTGAAAAAAATAATAAGACCAAGAATCATTGAGGCCTTACACAAGTGAGATTATTGTATGCACATTATTATACTTGTCAGAGCCTCTTTTAATCTCTACACAGATATTATGTTCTTGTCACAGCCTAGCATAAATGTAAGTGTTAATTTCTATATGCTCGAATATTTTCTTAACAATTTTCAAAAACCAACCAACAAAAAAAAAGTGAGCAAAGAAAATCATGTGTACAACATGAACCTTTTGAACATTTGGTGGTTTCATGTGCTTTGTGCAGCAGATAATAGGGTAAATCATGCTGGAATAATGCGAATCATAAGGGTTTCATGGGTTTATAAATTTATTGTCTCATTATTAATTTATGTTTAATGCTCATTGGAAGCAAAGTAATTGTAATAGCATTCAGATATTTAGTAAGATAGAACATTGTATTTGTATTATACTCCTTCCGTTCGTCTTATTTATACAATCGATTGCAAACACTTACTGCTTTAATTGTTTTTACTCAGAGCAAACATAATGGGGGCAGGGAGGAAAACAAAGACAATCACTGTTAGTGAGGACACCCCCTTTTTTACTGAGTCCAGCTGGTTAAGTTACAGAAATTTGCCCGTGAAAGAGCTGGGCGGCGTTATATTCGGCTGTACACATGATACCTTTTCTGAGTGTCTCTCAAAGAAACTCTTTGGTTTGTTACTGCAGTTTTCCTGTGCTTAAATTATATTTTGGAGATAGTTTACTTCAATGCATAGATACATTCAGCTCAAAGAATTGTAGTTGACAAACATGGATTTTGTTGTTGACTAAATAATACCTACTATAAATTGGGTTTTCTGGTATTATTCATAATGATTTATGTTTACTTGACAGGTTTGCCATACGGGCACATCTCCTATGTTAAAAAAATAAGCATAGGTCTGCCCTTGTTTCTGTTCAATTACAGTGATCGTAATCTTTATGGTATCTTTGAGGCAGCAAGCCATGGCCAGACTTACCTCAATGCCTCTGCATGGACTGATGGTGGGTCACAGACAACTCCCTTTCCTGCACAGGTATTAGAGTTTTCTTGGTTTTTAGTTGTATTAGAGTTTTCTAGGTTGTTTTGTTTATAATGTGTTCCTCGTTTCCTTCATTTAGGTTCGCGTGCGCACCAGGGTGGAATGTCAAGCGCTTGTTGAGAAGCAGTTCAAGAAAATAATCGAAAAGAATTATTATAATAATTCTATGCACTTCTGGTTCGAGCTTGATCATGGGCAGACGAGAGATTTGATTGCATTATTCGAACCTTCTCGTCCTGCTGCCAGTACCACATTGCGTCCATTGAGAGAAAGTGAGATTTTTCCAGTATTACCAGCCACTACAAACAAAAAAGAACTTCCACAATTATTACCGGCCACCACTTGGAAGGACATCGTCAACCAGAACCATCTAAAGCAGTCGAACAATTTAAGAAATGATAACAAGTTTGCATCGCTCCTCTCAAACAATGGAGATTCTGAACAAGATAGCTCAGTGAAAGCATCATCTTTGAGCAGTCTTGAGGATATGGAATCTAAAAAGTCAGCGTCTGACTGGGAGGAGCAGGGAGAGGATAGTGTGTTAGCTGTTAGTTCAAGTTCTAGCACTTTGTTTGAGAGAGCTAACCATGTCTCTGAGAAACAACAGTTTACCGAGGCATCAGAGTGTGAAGAAAAAAGAGTGTTGCATATGCTAGAAAATTTAGCTGCAGAACGTGCACAATCAAACTCAACTTACAGTAGTTCTAGTTGTGATGATCTTGTTTGTGCCCCTAGAGACGAGGTATCTATTACTGAATCTTATATAAATCATGGAAGTACTCATGACATGGAAAAACCATATGCGCCCAACTTTAATGGAAGTGTTGATATTGTAGAATATCCCAACACATTTGACCTTAATCATGGAAATAATGAGGTATTTTACATTGCAGGTTCCTTGATACTTCTGTTTTCTGTTTCTTATATATTAAAATTATTTACTATTCTTTGGCTTAATATAAAATATGTCTTAATCTGTGTATGCAGCTGGTACAATTTATCAAAGAGGTAAAAGAATGGTCTGCAGATGTAAAGAAACATCAGGTATTGAAAACTTTGCACTTGTTCTCTTTAGTGCAATACTTGAATTTGTTGATACTTGGGTCTTCATATAAAAATTGTGGTTATAAAAAAAACTTAATATTTGCTTTAAAACAATAGAATGAATCCTTCCAGTGAGTGGTTCAGCTGTCTCATTATTATATTCCGCATTTGAATCAAATTATGTGTTTAATCTCTGTGCACTCATTTTCTGGTTCTATATGTATGCCCTTGATATCTGGTTTTACCCCTTCTAATGCCCCTTATTTTCCTGCTGTTTTGTCAATATTCTATGATGTTCATTTCCCCTCATGATCTATTAACTCCCTACATGGTTTACTCACCTTATAACTTGTCTTTTAACCTCCAGTTACACTGTTTCCAAGTTTCAATTCACAATGATGCATTTTACAAGTGATCCCATTCGAGATGTTCTTTGTCTTCCTTACTTTATATTTTTCCTTGTTATGTACTCCCTCGAGTCACTTCGAAAAATCATCTAAGGTTAAGACACACTTATTAAGAAAATTAAATTAAGATTGCTTTCCAACTATGACAATATTTTAGTTTTCTATTATAACCTCTCCTAATTCCTCAAAAGCCTTTACCAACTTTTGATGTTTCCTGATTATTTGTTAATTTAGTGAAGGAGGATAGATAGGAAAAACAGTCAATAACTCTAGTTTATGTTCAACATGTTTAGTCTTGTCAGACACAAAAGAAGTAGCTAAAAACTTTTAAAAGTGACCCAGGAAGTATCTGAATGTTCTGTGTTTCAGATCAGTGAATTCATCCTGCATGTAGATCTTTAAGGTTCCATTGACAAAGTACTTTATCTGCTTGGCTTCACTTTATATCTGAGACGTTCTCATGATATCTTTATATTATGCTTTTTGTTTTGCAGAAACTGTTGGAATTTCTAATTCTACAAAACTCTAGACAGTACCAAACTTGGAATTTTGATTATAAAAATGTAAACAAAGTATGAAAGTACTCATGCATTCTCTTGTCTTATGCCTTTTCTTTTTAGTTATCTTGTACAGTTGTTTGGTTGGTTTGATTCTTTGTCGCTCACAAATTAGTAAGGAGGCATCTCCATTTCAAGTCTGCTCTAATAGTAAATGTATTTTTATTATTTATTGATCAGATGGTATCTGTTGGGGATATTTTTTGCATAAGCTAAATTTTATTAGTCATATTTTACTTCCTTTCCTTGTATGTACTTTTGATAAAGCATTGAAAGTCAATATGTTTCTTCATAACTCTGTTTAGGGAATTCGCATCATTAGTCGGAAGGAGATGCATTCCTAAAATGTTGCACATTGTGGTTTGAACCCTTCATGTTCTATGTCAGCTCTTTTCTAGTCATAATCTTAATTGCATTTTATTATCGTTTCTGTTTCCCTTTGATTTGCCGCTAGGCTAAGTCGGACCAGGAAATTCAACAATTGAGAAATCAACTATGGCACTCAGAGAGAAAGATTGGCATTTTAGAGGATCATGTTAAACAGCTTGAGTTGAAGATTGATCCATGCAAGCTTGTCGAAGAATCTTTAAACAAATTCGTCGAACAGTATTTGGGTACAGATGTTATTTACCTGATCGGAGGCTTTGATGGGTACTCCTGGTTATCATCCCTGGATTCCTTTTCACCATCACTTGATATAATAACACCTCTAAAGTCGATGAGCTCTCCTCGTTCATATGCATCTTCTGTTGCATTAGATGGTAATCTTTTTGTGTTTGGTGGCAGAAGTGGGAATTCATGGTTTGATACAGGTATGATCTACTACTTGCAAGTGTCTGAGTGTATACTACATCACAATTTCACATCCTTGGCAATAACTTGTTCCTTTGAACATTTGTCTAGTTGAATGTTATAACCGAAGGCACGACAAGTGGATTTCTTGTCCTTCAATGCTACGTAAGAAAGGTAGTCTGTCTGGAGCTACGTTGAATGGCAAAATATTTGCTATTGGTGGAGGAGATGATGTAGAATGTTTGCCAGATGTTGAAACTTTTGATCCAGCAAGTGGAAAGTGGATTGCAAACCGGCCAATGTTTTATAAGGTAAAGCCAGTTACCTATATCATTTTCAAAATTGGTCGAGTATGTTAGTATTTGTATTATAGCTACTGTTATCATTATGCAAAACCTTGTTTCTTAGATGTCATTTTGTCAATTTCCTTTCTATTCTTCCATTTTGTGCATGTCTATCATCAGCCACTTTTACATTGGCTAGCCATTTTTACCTTGTTCACTCGTTTGTCACTTTGTTTTCATGCTTATCTCACTCATGTTTGTCATTGTTGTTCTTTCAGCGATTTGCTTCAACTGCAGCAGAACTCAAAGGTGCAATATATGCTGTAGGTGGCTATGATGGTTATCAGTACCTGAGGTGAATCTCCATTTCATTGGTGTTTTACTTTTTGTTTAGTTACTATGTTGTGAAATCTATTGTTAGAATTTTTTTTCCATTCTCAATATCATTTTTGTTATCAAGCACATAAGACTTGTGTGATGTTTTTCTCAAGTTTTGGTGATTTATGTCATCTTTTCTAGAATCTTGCGAAGTAGTGGCTACAATGCAGCTCTATTGTTTGCCTGAGATTGTTGTCTGCATGTCCTTTTAAAATGGACCCCTTAACTATAGATTGTTTTATCTTGCTTTATATCAACAAAGTTTTACCTGGTTTACCTTTTAATGTGCCATCTTGTAAAACGTACGTAGAGATCATTCAATTAAAATGAAGGATAAAATGACCAGCTCCCCATTGAAGGATTGCTGAACTCTCAACTTCCATCCTAAGGTATCAAGTTACCTAATATACCCCTTATACTACGTGTATGGATCCAGTCCGGTCATTTTGTGAGGCCACAGGCCCACAGTAACATTTTTAACAGATCGATGATGTGACAGTGTTTTTGTGCATTTCTTCCTGGGTTTTATCACCGTCTCTTTTCCCTCAAAATCAGAAAATTTTCCAGCTACTTTCCCCCGGAATTTTGCCCTTTGCCCCTGTTTTTGGAATTGCAAAATTATTTTCCGAATTGCACAAAATAGAAGAAATAACTAGATATTCATGTTTCTGCTGGATAATTTTCCATGTGCTGACAATTTTCAAAAGTAAATAAATCAGGCGTTTACTTTCTCTCTTTGCAGATCTGCTGAAAAATATGATCCACGTGAAGGTCGCTGGACACATCTTCCAGATATGAGAGTGAGCAGAGGGGGTCATGTGTTGGCAACACTTAATGAGAAACTGTAATTTTTTATAAACATCAACATCAAGATGAACATTGTATTTTTTTTTCTAACATCTTTGGTTTTAATTTATCTGTTAATTTATTTATAGATACTGCATCAGGGGTTTTAATTTATCTGTTAATTTATTTATAGATACTGCATCGGGGGATATGATTGTCAAAAGATGGTTTCTAGCGTTGAAATATTCGATCCTCGTCTGAATACTTGGATGATGGGCGACCCGATGAGATTTTCCAGAGGGTATGGTGCAGCTGTAGTCCTTGGCAATTCACTGTATGCTATAGGTGGCATCGATGACGATTCAGAGATAAACACTGTATGAAGTTTCATTGTCATCTTGATCTAGCTTCTGATTAAGCATTTTCAATCTCAGATGATAATAATACTTTTTGTATGTATAATACAGGTAGAATGTTATAGAGAAAGGGTAGGCTGGAGTAGCAGTGGCTGGAAAGCCATTGGAAAGAGGAGCTTTTTTTCAGCTGTTGTGCTCTAAGCGTCGTCGTGATCGAGAAGTGCTCATGCTGTGTTCTTTTGTAAATATACCAATCTTCAGTTTAGGAAGTACTATGTGAAAGATGGAGGTCCTAGGCTTGCTTTTATGGGAGATGCAGATATTGGGAGATGTTGTATATATGCAGTCTTTTGATACACAGAAACAGTTGACTGCAAGTTTTGTACCATACAATGCTTGTGTTAGCCTCCTTGTGTTTTGCTACTGATTGCATCATATGCTCTCTAAGAAATGTTAAATGGAAATGTTTTGGTTTGATGTCCAGGTGTGTTACCAGCTTGTGGATTCTCCAGTGTTTGAATTATGAACCTTATGCTTATACCTACCGTAGTCGCTCAGAATGCAGTTCTTTTCTTCCCCCTCTTGTGGGCATCCAAGTGGGCTTCTAGATATTACCAGGGTACTGAACTTTCACATGAGCATCACGAAATATTTTTTTGGAAGTTTTCATATGACATATGTGACTCAGGTTAGCCCAAAGGATGTTTACATTTCATTTTATCTCTTGATAAACCAGGCCAAAATCGAACCAAAGACGGTGGGAGCCATATTAGAACCTCCCAACCATCCGGATCACCCGTGGTGGATGCAAGTGACGTTTATAAAAACAAATGAAAGTTTTGTTCCGCATCAAACCTACTTTCCTTAGGTGTATTTTAATTTGTAACTAATTTCATCCTTTTTAGGAACTTGGTGATTAACACAAGGCTCAAGTCCATTTTGTGTGAGAGAATGCAGCAAGTGGAGTGTAAGTTATTTACACTGGCAGCATTTTTGCATGACACATCACACAACAGCATCAGGATTGAATTAATTCCATTTAATTTATAAGAAGACCTTGCTTTTTGATGTACATACAGGTTAGTTATATTTAGTCTAGTGTTGCCTGAACCTTCCTTTTTTGCTTTTCATTTTATCACACAAATATTTGTTCAAAACCTTTCAGATTTGTTTAAGGGTTTTTGTTTTTAGGCCCATTTGTTTACTCTCATTTATCTTTAAACCCAAGTACTATTACTTGTATCTTTAAGCTCAACTTTCTTTTTGTATTTATCTTTAAACCCAATCTCCAAAATACAATACTTAGCAAACTTGTATTTATACAGAAATAGGGTAAAGTTTCCAAAATACCCCTTTCATTAGCTCATATAAATCCAATTCTCTCTCCTCATTTCCCCCTTTTTCAATTTCAGCCCTAATTCTCTCTCATGTTGCCTGCCGTCGCCCCTCACCCTTCGTCGTTGTCGTCGCCCGACTCCGTCACTCGGAGCCCGTCACCTTGGCCGTTGTCAACGAATTTTTTCTATGATGGATTTCATGAAAATAACACAGCAAACCATGTACTCGCTGTTTATTTTGCTATTTGGTTCTATCGTCTTACTTTGTGTAGTGTATTTATTGAATTAAACCCTATCTAAACTTTTTTCATTTAGAAAATTTGCCTAATGGCGCCCATCTATTCAGAGAACTTAATAAGTCTCAATTTTATTTTGTTGAGATTTTTTTGCGGAAAATTTAAGAAATGTTGCTGGAGAAAATGGAAAAAAATATTACCGAAAGAAGGTCTTGACGTTGGCAATTTAAAAGACCTTGTTTTTAATTCTGAAACTATTTTCAGAATTAAAAGTTGCTTGTTGCAGAATGTATAAAATCAAACTTCGTTACAGGGTTTTTTTTATTGTGAGTGGGAAAAACAAAAAAAACTTGAGGTGGGCTCGATCGAAAATAAAGCTACCGTATCATGGTAATTTTCAGTTCTGTGTAATTGATCTTTTCTTTTTTAAATCTGGTTTAAAATTGTGCCATGTGGAGTGGATGAAAACAATTTTTATATGCGCTGAAGAGCTTTGTTTGTTTGTGAAAAGTCTAGCTTCAAGGTGTGTAGAATCATCCGAATAGGGAATACTTCAATTGCTGAGAATTATTTGACACTCATTTGTTTTAATTGTTCTTTCTTTGTTTTTTTAGAGATGCATCAATGAAAATAACCCATCGAGTGTAGATCGAATGTTTAAGCCAATAACGACTACTCGATTCTATGAACTTGATAAGATTATTTTCTCACTTCTAACTTCATTTCATTGGCATATGTTGGTATTCTATGTAAAGGATAGAAGATTTTATCATTACTCTTCTTTCCGCAGATATATGTCCGGTGCTAGTGATTTTAGAGTGAAGCTTATTTCTACCATTTCCGATGCTTGGAATTTGGACATTACTTCTTGTCATGAGATAGAAAGTGTTGACGTACCTCAACAACGTGAGTTAGTAGTATATTCGACTTATTCATGTGTTGTTGTTTTTTCATATGTGTTAACACATAGAAACTATATATTGCGGGCCAAAAGTGTTATATTGATATTGTGAATATTTGAACTTGCAGTAGCCTGGATTGCGGGGTGTTCTTGATGACATACATGTTTAGTCTCGTTTCCGGTCAACCAATTTCAATTGCCCAAAAGGATTGTGCAAGACATAGAGCGCGTATCGTTGCTCTATTTATATCTGAAGGTATATTTTTCCATAAGTGTAATGTTCATTGAACCACTTATATTCAGTCTATTATTCTTTTGATTCGCTTATATTTTAATTTCAGGATATTAACGTGATCCTCAAGACCAATTTCCCGGATGCTAGATGGCAAATATATGTTTGTCATTATGAATATATGTTTGGAAATTGAGTTGTAAAATATTTGTATAAATATATGTTTGTCAGTATGAATATATGTTTGGCAGTATGAAACCTATGAGTCTGCTGTTGGAACTGGACTTGTAAAGTATAGCACAATTCTGGGACATGTTGTATATAGTTTGTCAGTTGCATTCTTCGGTTAAATTACTGACATTTTGTGGCTTCTGTGATTGAGTTTGTAAGTATAGCACGAAACCTATAACATGAAACCTATAAGTATAGCACGAAACCTATATCTATAACACGTTAACATGCAAGTATAACACATTATAATGTAAGTATAGCACGTTAGCATGTATGTATAGCATGTTAGTCTGTAAGTATAGCACGTTATAATGTAAGTATAGCACGTTACCCAGTAAGTATAGCAGTTACCCAGTAAGTATAGCACGTTAGCCTGTAAGTATAGCACGTTAGCCTGTAAGTATAGCACGTTATAATGTAAGTATATCACGTTAACCTATAAGTATAGCACGTTATAATATAAGTATAGCACGTTAGCCTGTAAGTATAGCAAGTTAACCTATAAATATAGCACGTTAACCAGTAAGTATAGCACGTTATAATGTAACTATAGCACGTTAACCTGTAAGTATAGCACGTTAGCCTGTAAGTATAGCACGTTATAATGTAAGTATAACACGTTATAATGTAAGTATAACACGTTAGCTTGTAAGTATAGCACGTTATAATGTAAGTATAACACGTTAACCTGTAAGTATAGCACGTTATAATGTAAGTATAGCACGTTAACCAGTAAGTATAGCACGTTACCCAATAAGTATAGCGCGTTATAATGTAAGTATAGCACGTTAGCCTAATGTACGTATAGCACGTTAGCCTGTAAGTATAGCATGTTAGTCTGTAAGTATAACACGTTATAATGTAAGTATAACATGTTAGCCTGTAAGTAGATAAACTACACCATAGTGCTCTAAATACTATTCTCAACCAACTGAATTTTACCTCACCGTAAAAAAATTAAGCATAATTATGCCAAAAAATAATAAATATAGCATCCAAATAAAACCAGTTCTTAAAAAAACTTTATCACCTCATCATGTGAATTACATCTCACCAATCGCCCCCGTACATTATAAACACATCAACACATCAATATAGCTTCGTGTCGAGGGCGGCGAGGCGGCGGTCGAAGACAAGGGAGTCAGCTTTGTTTCAAGGTTAATAGTCATCGCTCTTTTTAGTTTCCAGTGTAATAAACTTCCCTCCCCACCCAAACTCTAACTCCCGATTACATATTCATCTTTATTGTAACGTTCCAAATTTCAGTAACTTACTCATGAAAGAGGTGGGTTTCTTTGATTCCTGTATACACTAAAAAGGTATAGTTAATTTACATTTGTTTCCAATGCTCTAGCAAAACGTTGGCCTAGATGCATGTGTCACTGACCTTGACCTCCTCTCCATTAACAAGTTTTGTCCGATCAACCGTCAATCCCTCAATTGAAACCCTCGATCAAATTCGGAGCTCAACACAAATCCTCGATCAACAACCTCTCATCCCACACCGACCTAGGTCAATCTCTTCTCCTTCAACAAGTTCTCCGATCAAATCCTTCGTCAACCAACCCCCAATCCCTCAACTAAAACCCTCGATCAAATTCGCAGCTCAACTAAACCGAAACCCACGATCACCTCCTTGCGGGCGATGGGCAACAATGACGGCAGCGGGCGACGGCAACGAAGACGGCGACTGGAGAGGTTCGACAGTGGCTAGGGATGGGCGATGGCGGCAAAAGGGGCTGTCGTTTTTTTAATTTAGGGCTGAGTTGAAAAGGGTAAGATGAGGAGAGATACTGGTTTATACGGGGCCAAGGGATATTTGGGGGATTATGTATAAATACAAGTGCTGAAGTATTGTATTTTGGAGATTAGGTTTAAAGATAAATAAAAAAAGAGAGTTGGGCTTAAAGATACAAGTAATAGTACTTGTGTTTAAAAATAAATGGGAGTAAACAAATCGGTCTAAAAACAAAAACCCCTTTGTTTTTTTAATTTGACTTGTAACAGAACTTATAATAACAATATGAGATTCTAAGAAGGAACATAACTTTTTTTGCACTGGGATGTGATGTACTATTCTAAAAACACACTAAATAACAGTAAACCTCAGAGTATAGAAGAATGACAATTAGACTAGGATACCATAAAGGGAACAAATGATACAAATTTCCAATTGCAGTTCTCAGAACATGCTGGCAGCAATATTAATCTCTTTGGATAAAAATGCAAAGATGACAACACAAAATTCTACAATTTACATTTAACACTCTCAACATTTTCAAAAATGACTTTCTATTCTTTAGATCACAGTCTTCATTTTTTGTATTATAAATTGTGAGTTCGATGAACGTATAAAATCAGTAAGTCTTAAAGCCTAAAGCTAGGTTCTATGCCTTTTCTTCACTCATAAAGAAAATGATAATCTTCAATATACACATATCAAACAGAATATTAACCATATATATACTATAGAGGAGTATTTGGCATGTAGGTTTGATACTTTTGTAAGCTAGGTATACGGCACCAACTCTCATTCCGCAAGCAATAATGGCATCAGCAGTCCTCAACTAACCAAAAGAACAAAAAGTTTCTCTATAATATGTCACACAGCAACAATGTCAATTATACAAAAAAAATTGGAACAAAAAGAACTAAAAGATCTTATTTTTATCACCGCATGGCATTAGAGTACACAATTCATGAACGGATATAATGTAACTGTAGTTGCACTACAAGATACACATAACAAGACATGTCTTTTTTCTTTAACCAGATAATTAGAACACCGTCCATTGAAAAATATCACATATGGTAATTGCTCAATTCTAACAAGATATTGAGGATACCGTCGATTTAAAAATGTCACGTATAGTAATTGCTCGATCAAAAGCAATTCAAAAACACACGCATAGTCTGTGCATGGAAATATATACATAACAAGACAATCTTTTCTCTCCAACTGAATAGTCAGGCTACCGATTGAAAAATGTCAAATATGGTAATTGTTCGATCACGAAAGATTTGAGAGCACCCACATGGACACCTCCATTCCTCCATGCATCTCACCATAAATTTATCTTTCTTTCTCCCTCAAGTTTATATAAATTCCTTTGTCTTCCTAGTCCTACCCCTCACTCTCCATCTCTCTCACACACAACCCTTCTTCTTCATCTTTATCAATGTCGATGGGTGATTATGACATTGATATTTTCCTAGCTCACACAAACAACAACAATGCCTCTCTTTTCATAGAGCCACCACTCTCACCTTTTGGTGAAGTAGATCTAAGTGGTATCAACACTCCTACTATCACCACTTGTATCAAGCCAAACCCTCAAGCCAACATCTACCCTCCCTTGAGCAACAATATCCTTGCTCACATGCAAAACCCACCCCCCTCCAAATCAAACCATCCAATAAACATCCCCAATAATATTGGATCTTGTTCAGCAAGCAAGGCACCAATAAACGTTTGTAGCCAGAACTTCCCATTCAACGACGTGTTCCGACCTTTTACTAGGCAAAATGCACTTCCATATGGAGTCAATAATCCCATAGGGCAGTCACAATCTTTCCTCAGCCAAAGTTTACCTCCCCATCAACAACCATTCTTCCCCAACGGAAACATCATAACAAAAGGCAAAGAGCTAACACCATCTACTACTTTGTTTCCTAGCCAAGACCTCCTCATAGACCCCCGTCTTCGGAACATCAACAACCAAAATCTTCGTAACAACAACGCCATGGAGTATCCGTTGCAATCTTTGATCAATAGACAAACTATACCGATCAATCTAGCAACATCCTACGATTTTACTACCCCGCTTCCTGAAATACAAGGTAAGTCGCTGATCAATCTCTACAGTCAAAAAAAGAGCATGAAGTTGATGAGACCTATGGAAAATTTCGATAATCATGATCCTGAGGCGATCGCGTCATTCTTGGCTGGTCAGGTTCGTCCGGGTCCTAATGCACCTAGGATCTACAAGTGTGAGATTTGCTCTTTGGAGTTTCCATCTGCTCAAGCCATTGGAGGTCATATGACTTCACATTGCAGTAGGAAAAAAGCCAAGAAATGTTTGAAAGTGAAGGGAGGCAAGAACAAGAAGACAAATAAAAATAGCAAGAAGTCGGTTACTGGAAAATTGATGAAGAGTGCGCAGTAGCAGGTTTACCAGTTGTTTCTTCAGTTATGCAAGCATGGGCATTTCTGATCAAGTCTAGGTGCCGCCCCCCCCCCCCCCCCCCCTCTTCTTTCTATTATGTTCTTGTACTAATGTCTGATTTAATTTTCGTTTAGTCTGTTTTGGGTGTCATTATATTTGCGTTCTTATCATGTTTTAGGAAGTAATATGCAATTTTATATCAAGAGTTCCAATTTACTGAGTTGTACTCAGCATCCTTTGGTTATTTGCAACAGTCATGCTAATTATTGCAACTTTGCTACTGCCTTCGTATTGCCTACAAAATTAGATGATGTACCTCACGTTCAACCCAACTATCCCAAAAAAAATTAGGCAAATTCACCACCTGTATCATTGTATAAAATTAGTACCTTAATAGTAGTGCAGCAAGCATTTTTCCTGAGTGTAATATATCCCCCAGATGGAGTATAATGTAATGAGTATAATATCCCTCTACAGGCCTCTGACATTTCCATAGGTACAAAAATTCAATGCCCAATAACTTAAATAACATCTGCATTTTGATATGATCAACTTACAAAGCATTTTATATGCTTGTGGATAGCCTACAAAAATACATCATTCAAATACATGCACTAGAACTTTGCATAACCCTTCCAACTTTTCATCTCCCCTCCATACAATACACATCATGAAGGAGAAAACCCTCAACACTTTATAAAATTTTCTATACCAGAAGAAATCCAATAAAATAATAAAGTTATTACAACAGTCTACAAACAATAGGACATCATAATATAATTGTAATAACATAAAAATAGCTCCCTGGACCTCCCTGTTGCCAAAACATTACATCCATAAGTTATACGTCACCATAAACGAACAAATATTTATCTTCCTCGTTATAACCCCCGGATATCACAGTTAAATTAAACTGACGTCGATCTCCTAGTGATGTGAAACTTTACAGCGGGCAAATGAATGAGATTCCAACAGGGTTACGTTAGATGATTGCTGAACGAACTGTAGCTAAAAACCTAATAGGGATTTGGAATCATACTCGAGAGAACCCTCTGATTACCGATATAGGGCTTGGGCTTTTGCACAACAGCGGGTCCCACTACCATATCGTCGTCTCCTCTCTCACTTTTAGAGCTAGGGTTTCTTCTTGGATAAGAACAGCTGGAAGATGCAGTGTTGTGTTGTGGTGGAATAGGTACGGGATTTCTAGTGGTAGCATTTGGATTGTTATTATTGTAACGGAGAACTGAACCAACGACCTTGCCTGGCCTTGCAACACCTGTTGCACCTGAGGTCAAAGTAAACAAATCTTATTTGTTGACGAATTTAAAAAATAGAATTGATGGCAATATTAACATCAAGCAATTACTCAAGAATCAGTTGATATGGATGACATGACATAGAAAGCTTCTCTTTTGACATTATTTTGAATTCTTTTTACTTTTTACTTTCTTTTCTTCTTCTTTCCTCCCTTTTTCCCCTCTTTCTAACATCAAAGGGGATGCCTCTCTTACAAACGTTTTTGAGAATTTTCTGTCAGCTTTTCATTTCTGTGTCAGATACTATCCCTTTGAGGTTTGATTATAGAAATGATGTAAAGCACTGAAAAACAAGTCACACCAATAGCAAAACAAAAGCAAATTTCAATACACACCCTTTAAGTTTTCACCAAAAATAAAGGGTTAATCATGGACAGACCCCTGTGTCATCCCCAAATTGAACTCACTTACCCTGTAGTTCTATTGTTGCAAATAGATCCCCTGAAAGAGTTCTACTGTTGCAGATAGACCCCGTGAGTGACAAACAGTTATTGCAGATAGATCCCCTCAAAATGGTCAAAAAAATTCACTCAGGAGTGCTATCTACAACAATAAAACTACAGGGGTAGTAAGTTCAATTTGGTGATAGTACAAGGGGTTTATCCATAATTAACCAAAAATCAAATGATCTCCATCAAATGAAAAATTTATCAGCCTACCGATAGTCTAAGTTTGTGTTTTCACATACAGCTGTTAAATCGAGGGATAACTAAATCAAACAAAAGTACTGTTTTATCCTCTATGAACTTTTAAAAAGTCGATAGGTTAACAGATTGATGACAACAGCTTTAGACATTAAACCCAGGTTTAAAACGGGTGCAACCATTTCTTCATTTCCTCGACTATTTTTCTTAACTCCAATCATCAAGATAACAACCAAGAGGTCATACCTTCATCACATCAAATCCCTATTCAAAACCTTTCTTCTCTTCTGTTCTCCCATATTCTAACCCTGATAATAGCCTCTTCTGGTTTACCCCGAATCCATTTCCTCTATTCTGTATCCGCACTTTTAGGTGGAAGATGAATTAGACAGTTTGCCTTAAAATCTTTGAAAGTAGGGGCCCTGACCTTTGGGTTTTACCCCTTCTTTACGTTGTGTAGGAATTAGGGGATTCTAACCTTAACCAATATGAGTTGTTAAAGCTTAGAGGGCATAATCAACAAATAAAAATAGTTAACCTCTAAAGTATATAAACTGATTGATATCATTAAAAAAATAAAGGGCATTTAGCCACAGTTCCCTAAGTCATGTCAGCCTACCCAACAAATCTGACAGAGGATAGACATGACACTCGAAGGGTTTGATCATTTTAAAAGTGAGGGAGGTATTTGATACCAGTGGAAACCTAATGGAGCTTTAATCAAAATGTTCACAAACAAAAATGATGTAGAAGGAAATTTTTGACAATAAAATATTTGTGACTCAAAAAAATTATAAAATATTGCAGATGGATTCCTCAACCCCTTGTACCACAGAAGCTCTTTTTGTCTTTATGTATTAAATTTTTTGTTTGCTCTAAGTACAAATTTTTGACATTTTATTGCTAAAACTTGAACTAAAATGGAAAACCTCTACAAGTGTGAAAGATAAACACATCTACTAAAGATTACTGACAGCATTAGGTTTACATTTTATCAAGTACTGACGAAGGTATCACACTACGAGTTAAATGAATTTTATGTCTATTCCTGAAGGAAAAGAAAGAGCAAATGAATTTTCTTAAAATATCGGCACTGAAAACTCACCTTGGAACCTCTGAGGAACTTGAAGAGGAAGTCTCGACATGGGGGCCACACAGCTCTCCTGCTGTGGCCTCTCAGCTTCCTTGATGTAACATTTGGAAAGATCTTCAGCTATTTCCATTGGATTCTGAGCTGTGTTATCTGAATAAACTACACATGGCCTGCTTATTGAAAAGCTCAATCAGTTGCAAATAACAATGTGTCGGTTTTAAGGCATAATTGAGTATGCAACTCACCTAGGCAATGATGCATGTTGTCGACTAGGTGGGGTGACTGTTGCACCATTTCCATAGTGTTCTTCAAGAAAAGCAAACTGCTTCTTGAAGTGATCCACAGCACTGTGACAAAAATTTATGACTATTAAGTATGATATTTAGAACTTTGTAAGGCATCAGACTAAATGGTTGAAGAATTAGAAAGGAATAACGGTGTTATTAGAATACTCTATTGCTCACTACATTATGCTCCTGAGAACATTTAAGAGCATCAGTAAAAAAGTTGCGGACAGAAGAAAATAATAAAGCTTATGAGACTAGTATATCTTCTGTTAAAAATAGCTCCCTGCAGAAGCCGTTGAAATTTTATGGTTGAACAGCATGTAGAGACTAATCCAGTCAACTTCACAGCTCAGTTGTGCAAGTCTAATATGGAATACCAAGAATAGATTCCAACGATCAGCTATTGCTATTTTAATCCAACAATGTATAAATTGCTCGACGAAGAACAAAGTTGGATGTAAAAGAGATACAAGCGAACAGTTGCATGCGAAGAGCATTTACAAGGACGAGTAGAGATTATCTAATTCCTAAATGTTAACCAAGAAATGAAAGAATTGTTCTTTATGCTCGAACTTTAATTCTAGACTTTTTCCTTTAAAAGTTGTAACCTTTAAGTTAATACCTTGGATACATGAAACCAGTAGATTCAGCTCCTTCCAAGAACTCTTTCAACAGCTTTGGATGGTATTCAAGAATTTCTCTGTAAATGAGCTCCCTGACATCTTCCTTTGTTATTCTCCGTCTCTCAAATTCAAATTCCATTTTCGTAACTGGCTGCGCAGAAGGCTCTCTCTCAACCTTTGCTATGTTCCTGAAATAAGGATCGGCCAAAGCCTGACACCTTGTGGCAAAACTTATACACCTTTAGATTGTGTGAACATTTTTTTTTAATTACAAGAAAGAAACACAAAAGCCATCTTAAGTAATGTCATCCAGAGAGAATTGCTAACTGTACCTCTTCAGCAGTTGGGCGATCCTTGGGTTCAAAAGCTAACATCCTCTCTAGCAAACGAAGAGCAAGAGGATCAGCATTTGGAAATTTCTGAGAGAAAGGTACAGGTTTTTTCCGGCGCATGCCACCCAGATATCTTCTGGCTTTCTCATTGCGCACCTACAAGAGGCAAAACAAGGTTACACAAAGAGCCATGGCATAAGTATAAACAAAAAGGTAGAACTCAAAATTTTGTGAACCTGTACTCACTCTGGCAATGGCTTCAGCAGAGGGGGTACCCAAAAGATCTGTCATTAGATCCAATTGGTGGACCACATTTTTCCCAGGAAAAAGAGGCTTTCCAGTCAATAATTCTGCAAAGATACAGCCGATGCTCCAGATATCTATTGCAGGTGTATACTGCCAAATGCCAAGGACTCGAAAATTAGACAAGATGAGTATATATTATAACCTGTTAATTACTTAAAGAACCATCACAAACTAATCTTCTAACAGGGTTAGGAAATAACAACAGAGTGAATAAGTTTAAGGTTGGACGCTAAAAATGTGACAGTAGGACACAATTATAAATATGTATAACAATATTTCTAATTTATGTTTGTGATTACCACTATGAGATGTTCCTAAGTCATGTTTGGAATTATAAATATGTTTCACCACAAATTATGAGAACTTCGTATTGAACATTTTAAGCATAGATAAAGCCACTATCTTGCCAAAAATAAACCAGTACTTGCACTGTCAGCATATCTGTAAACACAATGTGGTACAGTCGTACAGATAAAATTAACACCTTCATGCCATTTATTACATAAGTGTCAGATGATAAAGACTCATCACAAACATTTAGTTTAGGTATGCATACAATTAGAAAGAAAACGCAAAATATGCAACCAAAAAAGGCCAATAACGACAGTTTTTGCTGGTATAAAAGGAGGCATCAGAAACATTATAAGTGGACATTTCTTTAATCAAACAAAGGATAAAAAGTAATCCACAAACCTTAGAGAAAAAGGAACCACATAACTCAGGTGCCCTGTACCACCTAGTCGCAACATAATCCTGCAAGAAAAGTCACTGGGATGTAATATTCTGAAAGAGACTATTAAAAGTCATGAGCTTTTAGTTTAAGCTACTTGAAGTATTCTATCATACCGTCCAGAAAATGGCAGTAGGAGTATCATTGAAGGCGACTCTTGCAAGGCCAAAGTCACATATCTTAAGTTTGCAATCAGCATTTGCTAAAATGTTTTTGGGTTTGAGGTCCCTATGAAAAACATTTGCTGCAAATTCATGGGAGAAAAATCAGATGTGTGTTTTCAGAATAATAACATAAACATGGAGATAAATGATTGATTAGCTTCATTATTTCAAATTCAAATTGAAGAAGGGAGGTCGGTAGTGTTTACTGATACTGCAGCTATAGCAAGTCAAAGTTACGTAGAAAGGTATAATCAAATAAAAAGAAGAAGAAGAAACATATGAAATCCATCAGTGCATGGAAATCAAGCACTAGCAGCTTCTTACTTCTCAAAGATTCCCGAATATTTCATCATTAAATTTCTAAATGATGAAGGTAACATGCATTGAGCACATAAACATGCACACCTTAAGTTATGATACAAGTTTCTCATAGTATGCCTCCCTCCCAGTGGAACACTACCCCAAAAAAATCTTCAGCCGTTCGTTAATTATTAACATGACCTTTTTGTTTTTTGAGGTATCTCATCCTTTTATATTGTGTCTGCATGCCTTTCTAGGTAAATAGAAGAGTATTCATTTGGTGGAATCGCAATATAATTATTTGATCGTAGATCATTAAAATTAGGAGAAAAAATAAATTGAGCAGGTAGTGAGAGAAAATGAGAGTCAGTTACACCAACTCATTTGGGGAAAAAATCATACTACATGATAGTTCAATTGGATCTTGAAAGTAAAAAATATATGATTTATTTTCAAATGAAAGAGTAAGAAGCACTATGCAAGTTAGTTTTACTAGGTTTAGACTGATAAATGACAGCAATCGGATACAAACATATTAGAGCCCTCAGGCAAATCAGAACGAGAAGCTGCATTATAAACCATAAGCCATTATCAGGATATATTTTGTGGCAGATAGTCACGTGCTATAGCTATGTTGCACGGGTAGTTCTATCATGAAGCCCTAACCCGTGCCCGACACATCCCATACCCACACCCGACACTTCTTGTAGACTCTTTCAGTATATGTATACATTTATTCAGATGTGTACTCAACTGTATAATACATATTTTAAATTAAAACACTCGTCACACATTTCTTAGACATATATCATACACTTCACAGCCACTTTTGGAACTTGTTGGACAAGGGTTGGGTTCATTTCAGCCCATATTCAGTTAAGAACCACAATTTCAAAAGGTGATTTGCCTATCTAGCTCAGAACATGGTTTTCAGCCCATGCATTTCAGTCGTGTCCCTGTACCCTAACTTTTACAAACTTGCCACATCCCGTACCCCGTACGAGTACCCGCATCTGTACCCATACCTGTATCAGTGCAACTCAGGCGTAAGTAAATAGCAAAAATGTTAGAACTGACGCACAGACAAGGCTAACTTCATTTAAATAGATTTGCATAGAGAACACAATAAAAAGACAATATATGACCAAAAACCGAGTACTCTTCTAAGTCACATGCAAGGTCAAAATACCTGTATGTATGTACTTCAGTCCTCGAAGCAATTGATAAAGAAAAAATTGGTAGTGTTCTGGAGTTAGATCATCATTAGCCTTAATAACCTGATGTAGATCAGATTCCATGAGTTCAAAAACAACATATATGTCTTTGAATTCTCTTCTCGAAGGCGGCAACAGAATGTGCTTTATTTCCACGATATCAGGATGGCGCAAGATCCTAAGAAGCTTAATCTCACGAAGTATTCGTGTAGCATCAGAAACATGCTCAAAGATATCATTGATCTTCTTGATTGCTACCTTCTCCCCAGCATGTGTATCGATAGCAGAGCATACAACACCATAGCTCCCCTTGCCTATCACTTCTTCTATTTTATACCTGCTTCCCTCGCCATATTCAGTGAAGAAATCTACTTCTGCTAAAGCCTGCATCAGGAAATGCGCAACAACTAAGTTCAGGTGGAAGAATTAGAGTACGCAATATGATTAATGTTGATGAAATTAAAAACAGTAATGGTAGGTGTTTGGGTGGGGGGGGTCAAAGAATATCTCTGATAAACAACTTAACAAGTCTATCCATTTTGCAAAGTTGAGATGGAAGCAGCATATAAACTAGCCACACAAATACATTGTCCTATTTGTTTATTTCTTTGATACACCGATAAGATATTTCAAACAATGTCATGGTCTTAATTAAACTATTTACTCACATTAGCATGAAATGCAAGTATAACCTTCTCTGGCTTTCAAGAGTTCCACTTGTTGACAGATATCATCCAATCAAGGGTAGTTATAATTAAATGTCTCGTAGAAATCCATCGTTAGCATAACTAACAACAGGAGGGTGATTGCATAAGTAACATATTGCCCAACATGAGAAATTCACAAGAGCAAAAAATCAACTATATTGACCTAAAACAATGACAATAATACTTACTAGATTCTAAATCCAGTAGATCTAGTTATACCATATGCTCAACAACAACTACTGCAAGTAGAAAAACATGATGAATTCAACTCTAATAACCAAAACTTGCCCAGTCCAAACCCATCTCATAAAAATTTGATCTTCTGAAACTCAACAACCAGCTAATCAACTACAAAACAATCGAAGGAGACACAAAGAAAGAAAAAATTATCCCGAAAACCCATTTCATGTTGCACCCAAATACATCTAAATTCGAAACGTTAACAACCCAAAAATAGCAAAATCTAAATAGGGTTACCTTTCTCCTCTGATCTGGGTTCATCCTGTCACTGCTAAAGATTAAAGCTTCAGAATCTGCTCAATATCATATCACCCTTTTCCTGCTAAAATCTATAAAACCAACAAAAAATAAAACAACTTGAACCACTAGATCTCCCCAAATCAAGAGCAGGAGGAAAATATCTATTTGCTCTCTCTCTCTCTCTCTCTCTCTCTCTCTCTCACCCTTTCTCTCTCTACACGCACTCTCTCTCTCTCAAAATTTATTACTGGATGGAGTTATTTTATATTAGGAAGTGCACATGGATTCTGGGCAAAATCCCCATCATTTTCCAACCTTTTTGATCTCATAAAAATCCAATCTTTATATTAGCGGAAGAGAAAGTACGGCGTGAATTTGAAGAAAAATAAATAGAAAATTTAATGGAAAAATAAAAATAGATCTTTGTCTATCAATGAAAAGGTTGCAAAAGTGTGGATGGGAGAGGAGACGGCAGAAATCCAGCGGGAAATAATTGAGTTAAAAAATGATTGAAACCCTTTCTTCTTTTCTTTTTTTGGAGAAAATTACTAGATAGAGGTGTACCGTGTACGGTAGGGTTAACCGCGGTCCACGTGGAGATGCTTAACCTTTCCCTTATCCATTTCTGCCCCTTTTCTGAAAAACTAGGTAGAATGCACGTGGTCAAATATTATAATTGTTGATTTTTAGTTTATAAATTTACTATAACATAGTTGCAAAAAAATTATAATTATCATAATATATTAAAAAGTTTTAGATATTTTAATATATAAAATCTTGTTGGTTTCAATACTTTACCTTACACATAATTAGTGAGGTTTAAAGTCTTAAAATATTAATATTCTAAGAGCAATTTAATTATTTGGAATTATAATTATAAAATATTAATGATGTAAGCACCAATATCTAAAAAAACTATTATTGTTAATAAAAAATAAATCTTGAATTCATCAACGTAAAATGATAGGTTTATATGGTCATAGAGGATTTTGTTTAATTATAAAGAAATCGCTCGTACCTATTGTCTACTTCCACTTTATATTATCTGGCGACCGAGTATTATAGATATTCAAAAACTTTTCTATAGAAATTTTAAAGTTATAATGTGCAAATTCAATCAAGAAAGAAAATATAAATTATGTGATCAATTCCAAAATCTGATATTATAATATTCCTACATCTTCTCAACTATTTAATTAATTTGTCAAAATGATTACTCTCTAATTTTAGAAAACTATAAAATATAATTTGAGAATGATTTAAACATATTTTGTACACATATGGATTGTATTTTAATAAAATAATATAGATCTATCCAATATTGAATAATATCCAAAAATTTAAGCTAAAGAGTTAAATGAATATAATAACACCCATATCCAAACTGTATGTTTTATAAAGGTGAGACATATAAAATGAACAACTTAATTTATTTTGTTAAATAATTTATTACAAATCATAAAAAATAAGGAGAACCATAAGGATCACATAGTCATCCCAAATAAAGATTAAATTTCTCTCTGCAAATTTTATAGCAAAATATTTTCAGAGATACTGATAGACTTGCTATAAAATCCTCTCTTATAAGATTGATATCACATGTGTCTTAAATTGTGCTTTGTTTAAGGGTTAATTTTAGGAAACTTCCCCTTAACTATGGGAAAAATGTTAACCCCCCCCCCCCCCCCCCTCAACTACTTGAAATAACCCCCCCCCCCCCCTCAACTATTTGAAATGAGTAAATGTTTGTTCGTCAAATTTGAGGAGTTATAATTAATCTATCTCAACTTTAAAATTTTGATTTAATCCTATAAAATTTTCTCAATTAACCCCTCAAAACTAATATCATTGAGTCGAATTCATTATGTGATATGTACTTGACTTGGAAAGACCAAAATATTCCTCAACCATAAAAGAATTAGCTTGATTTTTTGCTAGATGAAAGAAAAAGTGAAGATTTAGAGGTAAAATGATTTGTAAATTGGTTGTAATCCTTTTCTTAATAGTTGAGAGTTTCTTTTAACTAAAATGGCTTTCTTTAATAGGGTATTTTGACAAAATCGCTTATTAAAGTCTTTTACATTAAGGGGGTTGTTAAGAGACGTGTAAAAGACCAGAAGAGTTTTTATAAGACAAGCTAAGTCGAAGGGTGTTTTCTAAAATCGCATCAAAGTTGTGAGGGGTTATCTACAACACCTCTATAGTTAGGAGGCTCTGTCAAATTAAATTAATTAGTTGAGTGGTTTTTTTGAAACATTCCCCATACTTTAGAGAGTTTTCAAAGAATTAACTATTCTTTTAAATTTAGCTCAAATATTTTATAATTCTATATTAGTACCTAAATTATAAGCAATTTTAATTTTTTAAGGGAATAATGTAGAATTATTGGAGATTTAAAATCAATGAAATGATATCTAAATTACCTTTAAATATTGCTCTTATAGGCAATATATGAAAAATTGACCATTAGATCGCTCTATCGACTGATATCAAAGGTTAAATAATTTATCTTAATAATATTTATGGTTTTATATTATTATTTTTTAAGGATTTTTCTCATATATTGATCATTATCGAAAATATTGGATGGTATAACAAAATCGAGTCATTTTTAATTTGATTGTGGGCTTGGCATTAGGTCGTGTTTGGAAACCAAAACTAAAACACAAGTCACAAAAGCCACAATTCATATCCTAAATCTCTCCACTCCCAGGTCTCCCAAACCTCAAGCATATATCTTGACACAAATTTTTATGTTGAAAATTCATCAATATCTGAGATTATAGATTAAAATATTATATTATGTATGAGCATTATCTCATATAACACCCATATATTTTTTACTTAACCCTAATTATTGCAATCCAATATCATGGATTTTATTTGTCCATTATTTATATGATGACCAACACTTTGTAGTAGTCATTCGAAATCCTCTTCTAAAGTTTTCTAAGTAAAGTATATAAATTCAGAAATAATTCATAATCATAAGATTATTCAAAATATGATGCTGTAATTTTTTCACATTTCCTCTAGTATATAAATATAAGCTAACCCTCTGGCCTCATATTATATGATGAATATTATTTATCAAAGGGATCACATACTATTACTTTTGGTTAACAAAGGCTTTAAGTCTTTATTGGCTTAATTAAATTAAATATCTTTCAGTTTATAAAAGTTTCAATTACATACCTCCACTTATAACTTTCTGCAGTTAAATATCCTAATTTTTTAAAATTACATGTCCGTACCTTCTATACGCAAAAATGCATTTATAATTTTCCTATATGAATATAATGATAATTTTAGGATAATTCTATATTTTCTACTCTTTCCATTAATAATTTATTAACATGTAATTGTCTATTAATATATTATTAGACATTACTAATAATTAATATGAGAGTTTTACAATAACATTGGAAGTTTTAGAGGCCAAGACAAACTTGAAGTGGCATATAATATGATTAATTAACAATAATAATTAATTTAGTTTAGTTAGGATTAAAATATAATATTTAAAAAATAGGGGTAATATAGTCCATAGAAAGTTTTTTCTACAACTTCCTCTTTTAAAGGGAGTATGATTCTAAGCAAAGTATATATATAATTTTATTTATAATTCAAAATCTTGAGAATTATTCAAAATATGATGCCTAAAATTTTTCACATCTTCTGTACTATATAAATATAAGCTAAACCTCTTACCTCATATTATATGATGTATATTATTTATCAAAGGGATCACATACTATTGCTTATGTTTAACAAAGGATTCAAATCTTTATAGGCTTAATTAAACATAAATAGCTTATAACTTACGGAAGTTACACTCATATACCTCCACTTATATCTTAATGCACTTAGATATCCTAAAATTTTCTAAAATTGCATGTTTTTACTTATGTACGCAAGAATACTCTTTATACTTTTCCTATGTGAGTGTCACGATATAATTTTAGGATAATTCTATATTTTATATTCATTCCAAAATAATTTATTAACTTGCAATTGTCTATCAATATAGTATTATGCATTATTAATAATTAATATAAGAGTTTTATAATAACATTAAAAGTTTTAGGGTCAAGTTAGACAAAATTGGAGTGAAAAGTAATATGATTAATTAATAATGATAATTAATTTAGTTAATTTATGATTAGAATATAATATCAAAAAAGAATAGGGGCAATATAGTCCATGAAAAGTTTTTTCACAACTCCCTCTTTTAAAGGGAGTATGATATGATATGATTAGTATTCGTAAATTTTCAGATTTTGCCTGCCAAGTAGACAATTCAAAGGAAAGAAGAATAAAGTATCAAAAATAGGATATTCCTTGTTGTAGGATTGAAGTTTTTTGTTTATAAAAGCAAATTTATTCTTGGACCGTGTTTAGGGTTTGTTTGGCAACTAACATAAAATTGGGTTCTAACCCTGTTTTAAACAAAATCAGTTTTGTTTTGGACCTAAAAGGAGGAGAAGGAGGTGATTCAAAACAAAACCAATTTAAAAGCCGAAAGTGACCGGAGGAAAACTAAGACAGGCTTGATCCATATTAATGCAAATATTTACCCAAAATAAGCCTACGTTAAACTTAACCCTATTTTGAGAAGTCATCAAACACACTCTAGATTGAGGACTTATTTCATCGCGAGACTAATTTAACTCATTATAATTCTAAGATATAATAATTCATCAGACTATAATAAGTTAATTTTTTAAATATTTTTTATAATACTTTTTTTGAATGGTTTTTTTTAGATAAGTTTTTAATAATTTATTTGGTTCAATTTGTTATTTAACGCTTCTAATACATACTTATGTTTAGGAACTTGTTATTATAAGGTGGCCTAGGATAATGACATAAATAGTAAATGTCTAGTGTCCCTATTCACATGCATCAATGTCTAGTGAATCTTGACAAAGTTTGGGGGGCATTTTGGACATTGCTCAATATATAACTGATTGATTGGAGAATAACATAACACAATACGCATAAAATTAATGTATAATTACCGTGACTTTTGAGTTTGGTATACTAGGGGAGATCTTTAATGAATCTTTTTCTAAATTTTGTTTCGCTAAAAGTGAAGAGGATTTAATTTATTTTTTTAATTTTTCTTAATTTGTTTCAACTAAGTTTTACTTCGTTTCTGGTAATTTTCATTTATACTCCTATACACAGACGAGGGCTAATGCACCATATGTGGGGGAAGACGTAGGAATATATGATGGATGAATAACTTGTGAGCTTACTAGAAATTGCAATCTCTTCTTAGTTTTTTCCGTTGTATTTATACTACCGTATACATGTAGCAATATTGCATATACGCAGCTCCGGATGAGAAATATTGTCTTCATTTTTTTCATCATTGCAATTTTCATATCCACAAATGTCATGCAATTGACTATGGAGATCAACATACCCTCCAAAAAATTGAACCAAGCATCTCTTTATTTTATTATAATGTGTAAAAATTTTTCTTGTTATGATAATTAT